CACTATATATACAACTACAGTATTTCAGAATGTATGTCAGTTGACCATAAAAAATCACCTTTGGAACTTTGGTAAAGGCAATAGCTGAAACCTAAACTGAAACTTTGGTTGGACACTATTAGTAACAAGTGTTACCCTAGGGGAATATTCATTTTTTACTGTTGGCAACACAAGATTTACGCAACTGGTCCACGTAAATCATGTTATGTAATGGTCATCTGTGGTCTAAATTCTTTTTAATAATATCTTAAGGGCTAAGTAAAATTTTGACGTGGCAAGGTGTGTAGTTTCTATTTTTTTTACATAATATCGTTATAAGCGACCATACCGGTCCACACAACCTATGTGAATGGTGGAAAGTACCTATTGACGTCTACCTACCATGATCAAGTTATTGTTTGGTTTTTAACTTCTCTAGGATGCTTAATTCGTAAGCAAAAATCTTTTCGGTTGTCGAAAATGAAATAAATATAAAATGCAGGAATGTATTTATTCATTTTAAATGGAACTTGATTTACAAGAACTTTAGCTGAAGCAATTTATAATAGCACTAGCTGACTCTAGTATTCTGTCTATCTCACTACACAATATCAAGCACACGAGGTGATACAGTTCAATATCAATCCATACGATAGTGACCCAGCGATTGTTTGTCTAATAGAAGAGTCCACACTAACTGTTTGTTCGACAAAGCATTTATTGCGCTATGAATCACGTTCGTGGAACAAAGGAAAACCAAAAACTCCAACCATTCGCTGTTATACACGCACGATAAAAAAACTTTTTTGATAGTGATAGGAATTTGCGCTTTTTCGGAGTGGCTATGAAATGAAGATTGATGGATTTACCTGCATAGGTGGTAGTGTATATTTGGAAGATTAATTACCATCTCATTCACTGCATTTTCATCCCCGATTGGCAAAGCAGACCTCTACTTTTGAGTTGGGCATAAAGATATTACAGATTAGCTAATTATCGGCAGTCGTCGCGTCGTGTGTCGCGGAGTGCTTTTCATGAATAAGAGCCTCTAGAATGGCTTAAAACTAGTCGAGTTTCTCGTCAAACAGTTGAGTGATTAAGCCTAAACAATAATAATTAAGTTAATATGTCACCCGAGAGATATATTATTACATATTTTGCAGTTTTTTTCAATTTTCAGTTTTTTCAAAGACTGAATTGTGAACAGTGTTTGACAGTGAGTTCACTCCGCTACCTACTTATTCATAGTACAAATGGTGAGCAATGACATTGAGTAATCATGTGAGCCTATTATTTTGAAAAAATCTATGGCATACACACAGAACATATTACATGTATAACTAAAAATAACTAAATAGTCATTTACAAAGCAGTTACACATACCAAATACTGAAACGATTTGGGAAAAAATTCCAAGAGTTTTTGTAAAAAACCACGTCCCAGCTAAGATTTATGTATCTTATCTTTGAATCGAGTCTTAAACTAAATAAAGCTTTGTGAAACCCCTTTTTTAGGGCCCCGATTGATATGTAGCTTAGTCAGTAATACTCAATAATGGTTATGTTTGCTATGGATAGTCCAGAGCTTAATATTAATAATCTCACTATGTAAATATACTGAGAAAAGCTCTACTAGTTTCGAGTCACAGAGGGACTCTTCCTCATGAGCCGCGTGGGCGGTCGCGGTGACACAAACTACATACAGGTAAACTAGCTTGAAAATAATTGCAAACTAAGGGATGCTTAGCTTTTTTTAAGTGTGTTGTTGTATTTTAATATTTGTTTTAATTTATTATGAAATAACTTATAAAATTTTGACTGAACTGATTATTATTAAAAAACTAATGTAATCTGAAACTCAACAATTATAATTTACGAATAATAATTGCATGCCTTGATTGGTGGAACATGGTGAGCTGCGCATTCATCTAACATCTTGCAATGCATCTAAATGTACTGTGTTCAGCAATAAAGATATTTAAATTTATTATAAAAATCAATGACTTCTTGTAAAAAGGTTTTATATTATGTATAAATTACTACAAACAATTACTACCAATACAATATTACCTCATGAGTCACAAATAAAATAAATAAATAATTTGCTGGCTATACAAAAGTCCCATGTATCAATGTGTCACTTTTATACCTGAAAAATTTTTGCTTTGTCGATAAGTAGGTAGATAAGTCTCAAAGGAGCTTATGGCTAAGTAGAGACTGCGGCTTTTGGGTCAAGTCGTGACCTTGTGCACATGATGTTACTTAAATATTGTAAATTCTTCGTAAACTAGTGTAGTAGTTGTTAAAACTACTAATAATGGGTTTTATCTTCACTACATAGTATAAAACAAAGTCGCTTTCCGCCGTCTGTCTGTCTTCTCTACACATTTTGACGCAGTTTTTTTTTTAACTCGTCGAGTACCGTCATCATAGACACAATTATAGAACAATAGGTTGCGGTCACCGGTGACCGCTTGGTATTTGACAGTTTAATAGATATGTAGATTATTTCTTAAGGAAGCTTTATGTGTATAATACATGCATATTGCACCGGAATATTGCGAAGCCGGGGCGGATAGCTAGTGGGATACAAAAAAGTGCTGTTTACTGAGTGATTTAGTACCACTCATTACTTTATTCGTTTATTTTGATTTTTGGGTTTGTAAAATGTATTATAATCGAGCCTCCAGTAACCTCACTCACACGACGAAACACAACGCAAGCATTGTTTCACGTCGGTTTTCTGTGAGGTCGTGGTATCGCTCCGGTCGAGACGGCCCATTCGTGCCGAAGCATAGTTCTCTCACACTTTGACTTCAAGTCTAGTGAAATGGTAACGTGTGGCTATTGTCTTCTATTTTTCGGTAACAAAACGTCTATCAATAACTCTAAGGAACACAGGTGCTAATATAATAATGCTTACACTGAAAGCAGTTCCAAGTCTTGTCTTATCTACACCTATCATAAACCCACCTGAACGCCTACCATAAAGCTAAAACGTGTTCAATAAAGCATTAGCTCCTGTCCATATCCCATTAATAATTCCAAGACAATATTCTCAAATTCACGCTTGACAAAACGGAGACAAAGCGATACTAGTGTACTACAAAGCGATGTATTCAATTTTATGTATATTGATTCTAGGATCCGATAACTATATTGTATGGGTGTGCTCAAGAACGTAAGGGTCAGTTTCGCATAAACTCGTAAAGTCGAGTTTTGGAGTTCAGTGCTTACGATCAAAGTATGATGGCTTCTATAAAATTTTCGTCCATTCGCTTTGGTGGATATTGAAATACTGATACCTAAGTAACATCACGCCTTTTATCCCCGAAGGGGTACGGTGAACATTATTACTTAATGCCATTGTACAATGTGACACTCACTTTTCACTATTTATGCTATGAGTCCCATGTAGGGGGTGAGCCTATAGCCATATACCGGGCACAATTCTAAACTCCGTGTTAATGTAATTGAGAATTTCAGAAACTTATCAGGAATTTCAGAAAATTTCTGAGATAACTCAGTAATACTTTGCCCGATCCTGGATCATACGTTACATAACGTATGATTAGCGACAACAATTATTTTTATATGAGAAAGCGGGACCTCACTCTAAGACTTTAACATGAGTCGTAGGTGCATTTATGATCACATTATGCGCACATCCCAATCTGAACCGATAATTAATACATTTTTGTGCAGTACAAAGAAACTATTCCGTGTGGAAATTGAAGACGCGATAGTTTGCCCAGAAGTCCGTTGTCTAGACCCCGCGCCAACCATATAGTCTTATTTAATAAAAAACCTGTTTAATGGGGATGGTGACAGGGTATGAAAATTAAAAATATAATTAGTCCGTCAGTTAGGTAATGAAAAAATATTAGACACGTATTTTTTTTATTTTGTCGTATAATAAAACAATACTTAGATAAAACGAATCAAAGTTTAGGAGTGGGAGCTAAAACGTCATTTCTTAGAATAAAATGTACATAGAAGTGACGTCACGCGACATTTAAAATCAATATAATTATCTTCGAAACTATTCGTTTCCGTAAGAAAATAAAAAATACGTGTATAATGTTTTTAAATAATCTACCAGACGGGCATTAAAATAAAAATTAGACGTCAACCCTATTATACCTTATTATTATCTTCATTCTTGTTTTGTTTAGACCTTCATGAAAATACACTTTTTTAAAACTGAATTGATGTTTTGACACACGTGTTCCCGGAAAAATATGATTAACGCGAAAGGCATGACGTCATCAACATTTTAATTTGATTAAACAAGTAAATTATTTCGGTGTGCTCACAGTACATGATCAAAGTTAAAGTCAGACATGTGGAAGAGATTTAAATTAAAAACGTTTCTTTTTATTGTTAGATCTTTATTATTAGATTTCCTTTCATATGTAAACCTTGAACGTTTGGTTTAAGGAGATTATATTATAATTAAATTGAGTTAGGTCAGGTCTATGTGACGTGTCACGAGATTTTTCTTCAAATAGATATAGATGTACCTAATAGGTATAATAATTATGAGTTACTAACGTAAATAGACTAAGAAAACTATTAGAAATTTTCTCAGTATATTTTAGCATGTCTTACGATAGTTACTATAAAAATATTAATCATTTTCATTAAAAAGGAAGTTTCCAAAAATAACAGCTTAATTTATGCGATACATATCTCGCGTATTTCAAATACTAGAAGACTCCTAAAAATCTGGATAAAAGGCAAGTTGTTGGCGGAGGAGAAAAAAGAAAAAAACGAATCACCTCTTGGAAAACAATTGGCGCCGCTCATAAAACCACAACACCAGAGGAGGTATAAGTACATTGCAGGCCTGTTATGGAGTAAATGAGGGATTCAGTAACTTCACTCACATAGCTAAACAATAACGCAAGTGTAATTTCTCGACGGTTTTTATAAGGCCGTTTTATAACTGGTCAAGCCGATCCATGGAACTCTCACATTAAAATTAAGTATTTGTAATAAGTAATCCAAAATGCCACATACCTGCCGATGCTGATGAAGCACATGTGCATGATGCTAGCTGAACACGCCAGCACGTCGCACGTGACGTACACATTGCACCACACCACGCCCAGCGGCCAATAACCTGATGGAAACAAAATATTAATAGCTATGTAATTATAATTTTGCTAATAATTATAGATGTAGTTAATTGTAGTATGTAACTAGGTTCCCTCTTTACTTTATAAATATTGACTAGATGTATTATAATTAAAAAACTGTATGACAAGGGCACGGACCTAGAGTCCGTGGAGAAATAATCTTTAATATTATAAAAAAAAAAAAAAAAAAATAGCTATGTAATATGTCATAGTGGCCTGGAGGTTTTAGACAACGGTGAAGGAAAAGCATCGTGATGAAACCTTGACTTATAATTTATATTTACAAGTTTGAAATCGCCAACCCGCACTGAGCAAGCGTGGTGATTAATGCCCAAACCTTACCCGTGCTAGGAAAGGCCTTTGGTCAGCAGTGACCACTTATATGCTATAGATGATGATGATATAAGCAAGCATTGGTTAAGCATTCTGTCTTGATGTTTTTGGAAAAACATCACCCTATACTTTTTTTAAGGGGGGAAAATCATCAAATGACTGCTCCCGCCTGGGTGAGGCGGGAGGGAGTGTCAGACTCTAACTGATTAAAAACTACCCCGTTCCTTCTCCTGCGCTTCGAGCCAGAGCCCCTGCAACTCGTTAAGTTCTCCGTTGCATCACCTATACTATAGTATAGGATAGTGTGAGTAATTATTCCATTGTATTGTAAGTTTCGTGAGACATACTTAATAAATTATTATATTTTCGGCTTACTCACGCAATAATTTGACGAGCTACTCGACTAGTTTCAAGCCATGCTAGAGGCTCATATTCATGAGCAACATTTCGCGACCCTATCTAGTCGAGTTCCTCGTCAAATTATTACGTGAGTAAGCCGAAAACATAATAATTTAATTATTCCATTGTAGGAATTACAACCCATGACACATTGCATCATTGTACCAACCATACTGTCATATCGTAACGCCGTAGTTTGGAATAAGGGTCGAAAGAAGAAGGTATTTTAGTATAGTAGGTATATAAAATAAATATTAATTAAACGGCCAGAAAATGGGTTCTGAAATTGTCGACTTTAAAAATACGTAAAGCTTGAAGAAAACCAAACTATAACATGAGTAAAATCAGAGATGTTCTCACCCGTACCTATCTAATTTATTTCGAAATAACAGACACTCGATGTACTCGTGCCAGCTCAAATCAACTTAGACTTGATGTATTCTCGCGGAGGGGTGCGCAATATATTTACAGTCACCTTAAATTGGATTCCAAGATGGCAGTCATAACTTTTTTACTATTCGATCATTTCCTACGAATTTCCATACAACTATAAGCAGAAGATTGCTTCCTGCTGACGAATATGCCGAATTCAAAGTAACTGATGTTGAGAATATGATTTTATGTCCCTTGTTGTGTTACATACGGACTGTGGAATTTGTGAACAAGTGAACTGTGATTGCCTCGTTGGCCGAGTGGTCATAAGGGCAAAGTATTACTGGGTTTTTTTTTAATATTTTCAGTAGTAGCATGGAGTCTGGAATCATGCCCGCTATATGGCGATAGACTCACCCCCTATTACATGGGACTCATAACATAAATAGTGAAAAGCGGGTGTTACATTCTACAGTGGTATAATGTGCACTTCTGCCTACCTCTTCGGGGATAAAAGGCGTGATGTTTTGTGTCTGTTGAAAGTTGCGGGTATAATGTGTTTTATACCGGGAGCCGGTGTTTCAACAGATAAAAGGATATTAATCACAGTGGTAAATAGAAAGGACATAACACAAATATACTTTTTTGTATTTTATAATTTATCTTAAACTCGAGTTGTCTTGCTTTACATTAACTTCAAAAATTTGAAACCAATGAAAACAGATTGCTCATAGATATGCTCCATCGTCAGCCACATCATCGCTTATCACAAGGCAAGATGGTGGTCAAACGACCTATCAAGTATAAAAAAAATGTTATTTTAAACAGCAAACAAAAATAGAGAAGTAATGCTTCGGTTGGGTTAATATCACGGATATCGGATTTTGTTAAAACTACCAGTTCATATAAAGTGATTTCCTATTACAAGGATTTCTCCATGTAACTTTCTCATTCACCAGTCCCGTATGTCACATCAGTTTACATTAGATACCTACAGTTGGCAGCGTTCACACAAATTGGTTGAACTTCCTCTCATAAAAGGCTTGCGTTATGGAAATAGGTACAATTTGTAAAGCTTTACAACACCTTTCGAATGGAATATGTAGCCTTTCTGTGAAAATAGATATTCTTTATGCAAGTACCTCTGCGAACTGATGCAGTTTTCATGTAGTTCCTGGGGGCCTTTTAAGTTTGTCTGGCTGACTGATATGTGTGTTAAGGAAAACGTAACTAAAACTGTGATCATGTGATGTGAGAAGGTATAACAACCGTTATTAGGATTATGAATTTTTGTGGTATGGGAAAGTAGTAGTACTTTGAGTTCTATCTAGGATAGGCAGAAGATAATATTACGTTTCTTAATACCACAATGTGACCCCCACTTTTCACTATTTATGTTATGAGTCTCATGTAATAGGTACTATTCCAGATTCTGAAGATTTGAGAGGAATTCTGCGACTAAAGAGATTTTTTTAAACCAAGTAATATTTTGCCGTACTCGGGAGTCGAACCTGAAACTCCTTGCGCAACAGTCGCACTTGCGACCATTCGGCCAACGAGGCAGTATTTTCTTATATACGCGTCGTGAAATGTTTGACCCTCAGTGAATCATTGAGTTACTAATTACAAAATTCAAATAATAGGTAATAGACAACTAAATGAGTGTTTTAGGAATACAATAGCATGTGAGTATTATTTATATAATCTATAAAAAATAATGCAACTTACCTAAAAATCCAGGTATCGCTCCCATCGGCATCACGAACAGGCTGACCAAGAGATCAGCAATCGCCAGCGACAGAAGAAAATAATTCGTAACATTTTGCAGTCTCTTATCTAGACACACAGCTAAACACACCAATATATTACCCACACCACCGGCTATTATAAATACTATCACAAATAGGAAACTCCAATCATAACCCACTTTATCCACCACTTTTTCGGTCACATTCCTAAAGTCATAACTACATTGAAAACTTTCAACTACACCTAAAACTGGAGTGTCGTTTAAAACGTCAATGTACAACGTCCGATTTCTGGTTTCCGTATAGCAAAATAGGGTGTCAAGGTCACAGAAGAAATTGGGGAGACGAAGCCAGAGATTCTTGAGTGCACTTTCGAAGATGATGGTGAACATATTTAACTTGAGGTAAGGGCTGCACATAGTGTGGTTGCTATTAGCATTTGTAGTATTACATGAAGTACAAGAATATGAGGTTTCATTCTGTATATCTATGTTTAGTTCACAGGTGTAATTGATGAAGGTATCGTCTGTGGAGCAGTCGAGTCCTGAGTGTGACTCCCCACACCCTGGTCCTTGGATCAGATGACATTGAAACTCTTGAAACGCTGACTCCAGGAATGTCAGGTTATTCATGTCAAAGACCATGTTAGGTCACATTTTGTACGCCGTCCTTGATGGTCATCTTTCGGTAATCTGGAACAAAACAAAGATAATGTTAATAATGATGATTTTTATTTATGTGATTTGATTTTGATATGATTTCAACAGGGTTTCTTATGAAAAAGAATGCCTCGTTGGCCGAGTGGTCGCAAATGCGACTGCGGGGCAAGGGATCTCGGGTTCGATTCCCGGGTCAGGCATAGTATTACTGGGTTTTTTAAAAAAATCTCAGTAGTAGTACGGAGTTCAGAATTGTGCCCGGTATATGGCAATAGGCTCACCCCCTATTACATGGGACTCTTAACATAAATAGTGAAAATGGGTGTTACTTTTGTGTGCACCTCTGCCTACCCCTCGGGGATAAAAGGCGTGATGTTATGTTATGTTCTTATGAAAAAAAGGAAACATAGTACCCATAAATGTCGACCATAGTATGTTAACTTTATCGAATTAATTTTTCCATGATTCTTAAACTTTGCATTAGTTTTATCAATACAGAATTGTCACAACAAAATAAATCTACAGACATTAAACAAAATATTATATTAAAAAATAAAAATGACAAATAGTCGTCGTAACAAACGAGTGTTTAATGAAGTTTAGATTAATTACTGCGAGCAAGTTGTTACCGTCAGTGTGCGAGCGATAATTGAACGGCTAATGATCATAAATTCAAACTTCATTTAATATTTTACTATTATACAAAATATAATTTCCTTGGTGATCTATTAAAGACATTAATATATGATTGAATATTATTTTATTAACGTGTTTTGTTTTAGTGACTGCTGAGTAAAAAGTTTTGGATTTGATTTCCGGCTGGGATAAAGCATTATTGGGTCTTGTTACGTTTTTGGGAGTTCTAAAAATGAGTCAGAAATTGTCGTAATTCTATTTAAAAAAAAAACAGATTTTTTGCTTATACCTACTATTACGATAATACTTGAAATTCCTATTAATACCTACACTCATTCCAGAATACAACGCAAACACGCAAAATGCAACCATAAATCAAATAGCAACTAATACATTTTTCAACGAAGAATTCCAACAAATCATCTAGACATGGCCGCAAATGGCGCTATAATTCAAAACTTCAAAGCAAGTCTTGCTTGAAAGTTAAAAACGTGATTTTTTGCACGTAACATCATGGCATTTGCGGATACACCGCGTTTTAGTGATGAGAAGATTCGATATTTACGAAGTTTACGTTGCAATCGATTTAAAAATCGAAATCGTGAGATCGAAAGGTTAATGTCAATTTGAAACTTGTGTATCATTGTTGTTAATATTTAAATTGAACTAGTTTTATAGTTTATATCTTAATTATTGTGGTATTATGACGACACGGTGGGACTGCAGAAAGACAAAATTTATCTAAAAATTTACCTACTACTTCATCTGTGTGCTAGTTGAAAATCATCGTATATTCTGTGATCGTGACTATACGAACTAACTACACTGAGAGCCTTCTCAACACACTCAGGGTTAACAACAACATAACATCACGCCTTTTATCCCCGAAGGGGTACGCAGAGGTGCACATTATGCCACTGTACAATGTAACACCCACTTTTCTCTATTTATGTTACGAGTCCCATGTAATAGGGAGTGAGCCTACTGCCATATTATACCAAGCATAATTCCAGACTCCGTGCTACTACTGAGAATTTTTTGAAAACCCAGTAAATACTTTGCCTTACCTGGGAATCGAACCCAATACTCCTTGCCCGGCAGTCGCACTTACGACCACTCGGCCAACGAGGCAGTCACTCGGAGATATCTCTTAAAATTCAGGGAACTATAAAAACTGGGAGAAATACGGTAATCAAATAAATAGGATTGTAATTTCTATTCGCAAACGAGCTAAAAATCTCCCATCCCTAGTTTCTTCTTCAAAGCAAGATAAAGTGCACTCCACTTCGCATATTAGACGCGAACCGAGGATCAAGAGTACAGAAGCACGGTGGAGTAATATGAAGCGATGCTCTTTTGTTATAGCCGAGGTCTTAACAATAGAGGATTGTTTAGAAAGAGAATCCTGTTTTCATTGAAATTGTTTACTATTTTTTTTTGTTCTAAAGGCATCGGCAGAAAGTGTAGCTGAAAGGTTCGGATTGAACAGTTGAAATGATTATTGGTTTTTGTCGTAGATACGGTTAAAAATGACTAACATAATTCTATTATATAGCCTATACACTCATGGCTGTTTCATCAATGAAAATGTTTCCCGTTATCACGCCATAACTTAAGAACGGCTAGACCGATTTGGCTGCTTTTTTGTTATGTTTATTATTGACTGGAGAAGGTTCTTATGACAGAAAAAAGTCCAGAAAATCCAGGTCCAGGGATTGTGCATACGAAGTCGCAGGCAGAAGCTACTCTTAAATAAAAGTTACTTATCGACAGGTAGCCTCTCAACTAACCTCGAACTTGTATTCTTAGGTGTCACATATAGGTTGATGAAAACCAAAATGATGTTAACTGTCACCTATCTTAGTTTAAGGGTGCCTTAAAATTCAAAAGAGTTTGGTGAAGTGTGGACCCAGATCAATCATTCATGACATCACAAAAATAGTGGCTCATACGGAAATGAAATCACGTTGCATAGCAGCTGGTTATGGTAGACCAGAGTCGCGGAGAACCTAACGGGTAACCGGGGCTCCGGCTCGACGTGCAGGAGAAGGAACGGGGTGGTTTTTAGTCAGTAAGAGTCTGACACTCCCGCCTCCCGCCTCATCCAGGCGGGAGCAGTCATTCGGTGATTTTCCCATCTTAAAAAAAAAGACCAGAGACAAAAAAAAATTAGAACTTAAAACTTTATTCAACAAAAACACAACAACGTTGCATTATTTACAAAAGGTGATAAATAGTAATGTACATGGAAGAACCTTGACGTAATAACATAGTTGATTGCTCGCACATAATGAGTGTAAAACAACGAATACCGATGTTCACACGGCTACACATCGAGCTTTACATAACCAGTATAAACTGAACGTTAAATGTGCGGAAAGATGATGCGACGCGAGGCCAGGATAAACTGGTTTTGTATAGATTGATGTGTGGCCGTGTGTTCCATCGGCATACCTAACGCGGATACCGCGTGAATTGGAATGGAAATTACATGGCGTCTTGTGGGTTAAGGCGGAGTTTGTTTTACGCGATGTTGTTTTTATGAAGGTTATGTTTATTTTTTAAATGTGTTTTGCATGTTTTAGAAGAACGTAAAGAAAAGTTAATTGAGTACTGCTGTGGTTTAGCGATTATATTCGATTTCATTGCGAAGTTTTTAATGCTAACATAAATCTTTTTAAATTGTATGTAATACTCGTTTAAATAATAATTATGTGAGGAATACGAATGGAGTTTCTTGCTCGTTCTTCTCCACTAGATTCTACATTTTAAAATGAGTACCTAGCTTCACTGACGGACAGACTGACAGACTATTATTTATTTTGTATTTGTTTCAAAAGTTTCAAAAGTACCAAATTATTGTTTCATTGAAATAAATGCTTTTGAGTTTGTGACATAGACTAGTAAAAATGAACGTGAAGTAAGAATTTCTCAATGTTTCGAAATATACACAATAAATGTTAAAATCTGTATTTACAGTAAAATGTAAGCTAAATTAAACTTAAAAAGTAAAAGTAGCCAAGTTATACATGTTGCTTTAACTATATTGCTACATAATGAAATACTCGTAGCGCGACACTTAACCCCTTCTTCCATATACCACATCTTTTATCCGGGCACATGTACCAAATTTTTCAATTTTCTCGAGCTCGCGTTCCATCCGCTACCAATATTAGGTACACTTGTACTTTAGTTCATCTTCGGGCAACAAGAAGAGGACATGTGAAGAGATGACCGAGTATACCATATTATTTTAAAAGAAAGAGGGAGAGAGATTGGCTATCTCGTCGGTCGAGTGGTTGTAAACACAGTTGCTAAAGTTTTAGGGTTTGTTTCCCAGGTCAGGTAAAGTTGGGCTCGCTGCCATTGCAGCGGTAAGTCGGGTTACGGGTTGCTGGGGTTCCGGCTCGAAGAGCAGGAGTAGGAACGGGGTAGTTTTTAGTCAGTAAGAGTCTGACACTCCCTCTCGCCAACCCAAGGCGGAAGAAGTCATTGGATGTTTTTTCCACCTTAAAAAAAGGACAGGTAAAGTATTATTAGAGGTCTTTGGAAATTTCTCAGCAATAGCAGTATCTGACGTTGTGCCCGGTACCTATATGGCAATGGGTTTATGCTCTATGAGAAATTGCTTCTGACCTCTTCGGGTATTAGGGCGTGACATCATTATTTTGTAAACTGAAAAAGAGAGACAAAGAAAGAGATAGAGTTTTATATATGTTTATTCATTGTATGACCGTGAACATTGAAGAAGTTGGGGAAAACACGGGGCAATCAGGGAAACTTTGTATTTACACAATAGGATGAACTTGTAAAGTAAATGTGGGGTGTGTCAGTCACAGTGAGTGGCTGTTGGCTATTTATTTTCCAATAGTATTCGAAGTAAAACTGAATGGATAGTGTATCATGTAGTTACCTATGTATGTATATGGTGATGTTTTTCATCGAATTAGGAGGAATATAAACGTTTTGGTTAATATACCTCTAATGGTAGTGATGTATGTACAAAAATACATAGCATCTTATTATGATATACCTATTTCAGAATTTTCTGACTTTGACAATACCTCTATATATTTTTTAAATAACGTAGCCCAAGACTAGGATTTTCTCCTGTGTCGTAAAGTTCACATACACATGACACCCAGACCACAAACAACAATTTGCGGATCATACAAAGAGTTTGTTCCGTGCGGGTATCTATAGGTTACGCGGCAGCCGGTTGCAGCCATCGCCCAAACCGTGCATTATTTTTTTTGGATTATCTGATGGCAAATTCGTTGCTTATATTGTTGGTTATCATTGACTACGTTGGTCTTGGTAGTGAATACATTACACAGTCACACGATTTA